GCCACTACAACCTTGGTCTTACCTCTCCTCATCGAAATTGCCAAAACAATGCATCTTCACCCTTTACTTCTCATGGTTCCCGGGGCAATAGGAGCCCAGTTTGCTTTCTTGTTGCCTACCGGAACGCCTTCAAACACCGTTGGCTTTGCAACGGGTCATGTCGATATTCGAGATATGATCAAAACTGGCCTGCCGCTTAAAATTGCGGGAATTGCTGCTTTGTCATTGTTAATGCCTACACTAGGTAATGAAATCAATACCATTTCTCTTTATTATCATTACTTTTTAATTTTTGCGATTATGTACGTTACATATGCTTTTAAGATTTAAAAAGGAGATACTTTTAAGAAAATACTTGAACTCGAACTTATTTCATTCGATCAAGAAGTGAAATTTTACGGGAAAAAAAAAGTAATTGAATTGTCTATTTTTCGATTATTAATACCATAAGGGTTTGACAATTTCCAACATGAATTTGCAGGGGTTTATGTTTTTGGAGCGACTAAAGAGATCCAAATTGGGGTTTAAGCATACTTTCTTGTATATCTATGTGTGTATGTGTGTGTGTATATATACATATATATAGAATGATTTTAGAAAATTCATAAGAGTATGGGTTAATTACCGTGTTGAGTTCAACAAGAACTCATTTTCTTTCCAGAGATTGTTATATATACAAACACATGATATGCTTCTTCTCTGTATCCCTACCATTTGTTTCTTGATTTCTTGATTTCTTTCATCTTCTTAATTTACTCTGTATCTGGTATGAACAAACTATTTTAAAAAATGGGTTATCATTAAAAATTTATCTAACATAATAATTTAGGATACAATTAAATTATAAAATATGTTAAGACTTAAATATTAAATCAATCTGTATATTATTTTTAAATATTTGAATTAGTTTATTTATTATATGTGTTAATTTATATTTCTTAAATATTACTAAAATTATTAATAAATTTATCATATAGTAATGAGTAAGATGACATACTTAAAAATATTTTTAATTAATAATTTTTTTAAAAAATATAATATAAAATATATTTTTTTTAAAATTTGATGAGAAAATTTAATCAATCAAAAATATTATTTATGACATCGAATATAGATTAATATTTATATTTTTTTACTTTATTCACTGGGTCGTCATCCAGTTTTCCTGTTCGGATTAAATAATAAATATTTCTAAAAATAGCAATTAAAATAATAATAAATATTATTTAGAAATATAAATTCCAATGAAAAAATAAATAAATGTGTTTCGCGAAAAGGAAAATGCTCGCGATGCATGCGAAACGCGGAGACTGACAGACAAAATACTTAATCCAGTTTGTTTCTTCTTTGAATTTCTTGTATGTGTTGAAGCATGTTTACGGATATGACAGAAGATAGCTTTGAATCAAAAAGTCTGGGTTTCATATATGTCTTCATTGAATTTTAAAACCTTTTTATAAAGAAAACAAGAAGAAAAATTTGACTTTCATGGATTTTTTTTCAAACTATAAATATATTAATGTTGTATTTATATAGTGACAGAATGGCATGATAATAATCTAAATCTATAGCTGTGAGCATTTTCAGAGTAACCAAGTCCGTCAATGGCTTGTCTCATTATGCTCCCATGTGGAAAACGCCATGGACTATTCTAAAGCAATTTTCATGGATGGGGATTTCTATTTAAGCAGATTCTGATTGGAGTAAAGTAAGCCATGGAGTGTTATTCAGCTTTGTTGATTCTTGCATTTCTTCTCTCATCAATCTCTTCGATCTCTAGCCAAGATGCAATAACTCATTTTTGTCTATACGAGAAAGGGAATTACACTGCGAATGACAATTATTCGGCCAATCTCAATCTCATTGTCTCCTCTTTTTCCTCAGTCTCAAAAAACGATTATGGATTCTACAACATGTCCGTTGGCCAACACTCTGATAGAGTTAATGCAATCGCTCTTTGTAGAGGTGACAAACGTCCGGATGAGTGCAACACATGCATCAGAACAGCTGTTAAAAATATCACAGTTGATCTTTGTCCTAACCTCAAGGAGGCAATTATATGGCGTATCGATAATTGTATGGTTCGGTACTCGAATAGAGAAATCTTTGGTGCAATGGAAACTGATCCTTCTTTCTCTGCAAACCATCCAAATAATGTCACTGATGTTGAAGGGTTCAATAAGATTCTGAGAAGTTTACTGGATAGTCTAAAAACGACAGCTATTTCAGGGGATTTTCGTCGAAAATATGCTGCTGGAAATGCAACAGGCCCAAATTTTTTGACTATTTATGCTCAAGTTCAATGCACTCCAGACTTGTCTGAACTAGAATGTGATGATTGTCTTGTTAATTATTTTGAAGGTCTTCCAGGATGTTGCGGTAGCAAACAAGGAGGGAAGATTGTTGGGCCTAGTTGTTATTTCAGATTTGAGATTTATCGTTTCTATGAACCTGAAGTTTATTTATCAAAAACTGGTTCACCAAATATATCTACAAAGAATACCACCATTTCAAAAGGTATGTGTTACTATGTATATACATATATGATATTGGTATCATTTTAGTTTCTTTTTCCTTTAATGTTATATATATATATATATATATATATATATATATATATATATATATATATATATTCTCTTTAAAGTTACTTTATAAAATTTAAATGTACTGACGTTCACGCTCGAGAGATAGAGAAACATACTGAAGTGTTCTATAATTTTTTTTTTTTTAAATTATGAATCTGTTCGATTCATCACTCTTATTGAATACATTAATTCTATTGAACCGAGTATGTTCTCCGTCATTTGCTTTTCTAGTTTAGATTAATAGTTAATTTAAGTTTATTCCATACAGAGAGGATGAAGAGAGGGTTGATTCTAACTTTTTATTTCATATATTGCCAATATTAGTAATTAATTGTCTTTTTTAATACATTCTATAGAATTTTCGGTGAATTTATGAGACTTCTCTATGACAATTTTGCAGGAAAGAGGGGTGGGAGCTCTAAGACAATTAATATCATAGTTATTTCCTTCGTCATTTTTGTAGTAGTTTTACTTTTCTATATTTTCATCTACTTAAGAGTGAAGACGATACATGATAAAGTTAAAGGTAAGTTATGACTATTACTAAATTAGAAATGATTAGTTCCTGTCATAAAAATAAGATTATGTCATAACTTTTTTGTTTTTCTTCCATATGTTGTTCCTATTACTCCATTGGTGAAGTTGAGAAGGAAATATACAGTTTAGACTCTTTGAAGTATGATTTTAGTACTATTAAAGTCGCCACAGACAACTTTTCTAAAAAAAATATGCTGGGACACGGTGGGTTCGGTGCAGTATACAAGGTAATTAATCATAAGAACGAAAGAGTTATCTAAGACCATATTTAAGATTATTTAAATATATTAATTTATAGTTTAACTTAGTTTAATTAATCGTACATTTTATTTGCATAAATTTTCAGGGTATACTTTCTAGTGGACAAGAAATAGCTGTAAAAAGATTATCAATAGATTCAGAACAAGGTGATCAAGAATTCAAGAATGAGGTTTTGTTGGTTGCTAGGCTTCAACATCGGAATTTGGTAAGGCTTTTAGGTTTTTGTTTGGAAGGAAATGAAAGGATCCTTATCTATGAGTTTGTTCCCAACAGTAGCCTTGATCACTTCATATTTGGTAAGCTCTAACTTTTATTTTAATTTCAAATTTTTTCTTATTTGAAACAAATCTAGAATATTTTTCAAAATTATTTATGCAAATCTACAATTAGTTTGACTAGGAAATGGTGAAAGTCCTTAAATTAACAAAAAAAAAAAAAAATTGAGCTCTAGGTATGAATTTATAAATAAAATTTATATATACAAAATTTTTGAACTTGTTTGAGACATAATTTTATTAAACTTAGCTCATATATTAAATCTCTAGTCTTGAATGGTTGTGTAGATCCAATTAGGCGAACCCATTTGGATTGGACAGTTCGCTATAGAATCATAGAAGGCATTGCTCGAGGGCTTCTTTACCTTCATGAAGATTCTCGTCTCCGAATAATTCATCGCGATCTCAAAGCTAGCAACATCTTGCTAGATGCAGAAATGGGTCCTAAAATTGCAGACTTTGGTATGGCAAGATTATTTTCTCTAGACCAAACTCAAGATGACACAAGTAGAATTGTAGGAACCTAGTAAGTAACAAAAAATAATATCCTATACTTATAACCTATATATTGTCGAAAAAAATAATTTTTCTCATAATATTACTCAAAAAATCATCTTGAATGTCCTTGTACAGTGGATACATGGCTCCTGAATATGTTTTGAAAGGAAACTTCTCTATTAAGTCTGATGTCTTTAGTTTTGGCGTCTTGGTTCTTGAGATTATAAGTGGTCAAAAAAATAGTTGTTTTCGTATCGCAGAGGAGGAAGAAGATCTTTTAAGCTATGTAAGTATGAATAAATTAATTCAAATACGATATTAGTACACATTAAACTTAAAATGTCAAAAAAAAATTTATGCTTCAAATTGGTGCAGGCATGGAGAAATTGGAGAGAAGAAACAATTTTAGATCTTGTGGATACCACGTTGATGCCAACAATTGGGTCAAGAAGTGAATTGATAAAATGCATACACATCGGTTTGTTGTGCGTCCAAGAAAATATAAACGAGAGGCCAACCATGGCCTCAGTTGTTTTGATGCTTAATAGCAACTCTCTCTCTCTCCCGGCACCTTCAAAACCTGCATTTTTTATTCACAGTACTATTATATCTAACGTACAACCTTCAAGGTTATTATCTGTAAATGAGGTCTCAACCACAGACCTAAGTGCTCGGTAATGTCATTAGTGGGAAGAAACTTAAGTGCTCTAAAAGCACAAATGGCTGTAATTATGATCTATTTGCTTCGCATTTTTATTTCATAGTTTTTTTAAAAAATATTTATAATAAAGTAATTATATTAACGAGAATTTCTATTTTTTTCTAAATTTTAATGTAACGGCCTCGGAAATATTAAAATGAAATGAGTATTTAAATATATCAAATGCGGAAGCGAGATCAAAATTTCAGTTAACATCCCTTACACGAAAAACCAAAAACGTACTTAAAATATAAAAGATTAAACTAACTAAGAGAGAAACTCGAAAATAAAACTATGAGTATGACTACAGAGTCTCTAGGCATCCCCTTCGTCGTCCTCCTGCGGAACGGGCTCGGGAACCATGTCTTCCTGATCTGAAATGGTTAAATAAGGAGTGAGCTACACTAGCCCAGTAAGAACATCACGATATCTCACCGTCACGGAGATAAAGGTGGGTAGAAAAACACAAAAAGACCAATGGAGCATAATTTACAACAAAACCTTTTATCAATAATAAAACTTTTACCATCCACTTACCTTGGTGGAATTTATGAAAACAATATGGGAAAAACAATAACATTATCATAATCATTGAATAATCTAAGCTGTAAAACATAACACTTATCACGCCTCTTGTAATTCAATCATTGTACAACATATCTTTTTCTCATTTACCAGCCTACTAGTATCCGTGGGGGTCCATAGGGGTTCCGCTACCCGTTAACCTTTAACATCCATAATCAGTTTCCAGGGCCATCCCCATACCCCGTCCGGTATGGGCGCCAAAACCATGAACCTCAATACCCCGTCCGGTATGAGGGTGAAACGGGCCGTCCCCATACCCCGTCCGGTATGGGCGCCAAAATCATAAGATCTCCATACCCCGTCCGGCAATGTGAGACCACAATCCCGGTAGGGTTCCCTACGGACCCGGTCCGTCCACCATCTCCCAGGATATCTAGTCAGGCTGACCCCCATAATACAATTATCAGTCTACACAATCTTTCATTTTCCTTTTCCTCAATCAGCATCATCAATTCACATTTAAACAAGCAAATCGTACTTCATACCAAACAGACAACATACAGTATCAGTTTTTCAGTCATTCAACCCATAATAAATAAAAACGTAGTACATGCACACAAATCTGTAAAATGAACACATCAAACCTCATTTTGCATTTAAAGCTGTAAACAGGCCAAATAACAGTAAATCATCAATCACACTAGACTCGGGCTCCATTAGCAACCTTAAGCAATTTCACACATGCGTTAATTCAAGAAATACCGTTTTATCATTTTGAACTTTAATACCGTGATAGGAAATAGGGTGAGGGGTCCTTACTTGTTTTCGGGATCCGAATACGATTCACAGTGCGCCTGCAGGCCGTCCCTAATTTTCCCTGAATTTTTCCCGGGGAACTGAAACACACTAACAGTACCTGCACGTGTTCCAAAAAAAATCCAAATTAGGCCCAGGGCCCCTTTCGGACCAAATCGCAACTCCGGCACGGCGGCTCTGCCGTGCTCCGGCGACGGCGCCGCCGCTGGCGGCGGCAAGTCGCCTCGGGTTGGCTGTTTTCGGCCGTTTTCGGCCGAATTCGGCCACGCTCGCATTGGTCCTTGTCAGAAAACAACCCTAGGGCCCTCGGGGGGCCAAAAAATCACGGAAAAACGGAGCTTACCGGCGGCGGCGCTCTCGGGTGCAGCGGCTNNCGGCTAGGGTTTTTGGTCTGGTGTGGGGGTTCTATTTATAACCCCTTGCCTTTTGATCACAGCCGTTCATTTCGTTTTAATCTGGGCCGTTCGTTTTTGATTGAATCTGGGCCGTCCGTGCGTTTGAATCTGGGCCGTCCGATCGCGCGATTGATCTGGGCCGTCGGATCGCACTCACGCGGATCGCCAACGTGGCTCCTTTCGGAGTGACGCGATCTTGCCACGTGGCAGGCCCTGGTTGGCCGGGACGCTGACCGGGCCTGCTGACGTGGCTGATGACGTGGCCCCCCCTTTTTTTTTTTTTTCCTCCTCCTTTCCGGGTGCTACATTTAAAATATCTAATAATTATTATGATGAGAGATCCAGCCATGTACCATGCTAGAGGTCTTTTGATTGTGGTAAAATCTTATAAGTAGTCAAGATATTCAAGGAATATTTAAAAATAATATTATTATAACTTTGTATATAAATAATAGACAGAGAATTATTTAGTTTAGGCCGAAAAATTAAATTGGACCGACTAATATAATCTGGATCATATTAGATAATACTCAATCTAGTATTTAAACCAGAAATTTTTAAACTAAAATTTTTAGTTTTGTCTGTTCCAAACTATTTAATCTTTAATAATAAAATTAAAATATTAAATATATAAGTAATATACATATTTATATTATCCACATTATATAAATAAAATATCAAAATATTAACTACAGAAACAATATATATATATACATATATGTCTTTTCTAACGTTAAAATTAAAATATTAAATATATAAAATATATTTAAAAATTAAAATTTTTGGGTTAATTTTGGTCCGTTTTAATCTAATCTTTGTTTAAAAAATTTTTCCTATTCGATCTCGATCTGGTTTACCAAGGTACTAAATCAATGTTCTTGTTATATATAGATAGAAGAGTGTTCCATCTCTTAAAATTCTTTGCTCAATCAACTTGTTTGCTTCCCTTCAACAATATACAAAGAATGGAATTTCAAAGAATATATATATACATTTGTTATATTTGTAAGTTATCTTAGTGTGATTCAAAGGGAAAAGTGAAATTCTCTAAGCATATTGTTATTGAGTATTTCTCAAGAAAAGACATCTTTTATGCTATTTAAGAGACTCAGAATTCTATATATATTTGGAAAGAAATTAATTAGTGTTGAGGAATTTAGAACTTTCATACACTTCAATTAATTTCGATCTGTTGTCATATTCAGGTATGAATTTCTCATAAAGTTTTCTCTTAAATTAAGCAACAATGATTTTTTGTTTCTGTCTTTAAAAATAATATTAATGTTTGGTTGGTATTATTTTTTGTTTAATTGATTTTGTGGCTTGAAATTTGTATTCTATATGTTTATGGAAGGAGTTTTAGAATTTTTCTTATACTTATTTTTATTTAGATTAATATATATCCTTATAATTTTGTATCTAATCCTAATATGTATATGTATATGTATATGTATATGTATATGTAGTGCCAATCACAAATAATTTATTTGGGGTATTCACAAAGATCGTAGGAAATAGAGTTCTCAAAGGTCATTCCCAACTTGAACATCTAACTAAACCTAAAATATTATATTCTTTTTTAATTTTTAAAATATCTCTTAAAACCTTGAGCATAAGTGCAAGGACATGAAATGGATGAAGAAATTCCATGGAGCATTATCCTCTAGTGGGAAAGCCTCAAAAATCATTTAAAACTTAGGCCTCAATTCATTCTTAAATATTTACTAACACGAAACTCTCAAACTTTTACTATTATTATAATGTTAGGGTTTATGTTTCTTACACATAAATTAGCATGTTCAATAGGATTACAGAAATGTCCATTTCACAGCGGTTCATACAAAAAAAAACGTAATAACATATGAAAATAGTAAATAAATATTGTAGAGAGGTTAATATCCACTAACTTTTGATAGGATTCAGGAGAACATCTACTCACAACCCTCTTGCTGATCAGGATCTGAATATAAGAATATCACATTACTTACTGATATAGAAACTGAATGTTGGTAAAAATTATAAAAATAATATAATAAAACTCTTAATTTAAATAAATTCATTTATCATAAAAAAAAAATCATTTATTGCATACTTACCGTTGCGAGATTTTTAAAATCGACCTATAGAGATACTAACTTAAATAACATTATGATTTCATATTCAAGTAAGTAAGAATAATAACTTTTCCTTTTTATTTTATTTACTGGTATCTTTGAGAGTCTATAAAGGTATCTCACTACATGTGAACCTAATATCTAAATTTTTCAATTAACCGGTCGTCCCTATACCATGTCCGGTATGAGCGCTAAAAATATTATCTTTCAATATCCCGTCCGATATGAGGGTGAATCGGGTCGTCCCCATACTCCGTCCGGTATGAGTACCAAAAATACCATCATTCGATACCCGTCTGGTATGATATAACGTTCACGGTAGGGTTTCCTATTTACCAGGTTCATCCACCATCTTTTAGGATATCTATTCATTAATTCACATAACCAAACAATTTTTCATTTGCATATTAATTTCAACTTTCATAAATCAATTACAAATTACGCAAGACAAGTAATATATGCATCAAGAAAGTACAACTGAATCATTTAACAATTCTAATATATCATCATGTATTTAAGGCTGTAAAATTTTAAAATGACAAATAAATAACTAATCAGTTCCGACCCTATTAGTGACATGTAATTATTCTTGAAGTTTTTTTAAATATAACAAAATACCATATTATTGATTATTAAGCTTCAATTTCATAACAAGAAATAAGGTGAGAGATTCTTACGAAATACTAAACTTTCAACTGCGCCTACTGGCGGTCTCCGAATTTTCTAAATTTTTCTACAGAGATTAAACACGCTTCACGTACCTAAAAATATCACAAAAATCTAAAATCGGTGTTAAAAATCATTTCTAACCAATTTTAGGGTTCCGGCACGGCGGTACCATCGTGCTCCGGCGATGGCACCACCGTGCTCCGACGATGGCACCACCGTCCGTAACGGCATCATCACCCGCAGTGGCGATTTGCCTTGGCCTAACCATTTTCGACCGACTTTATACATATCTTTACGAAAAAAAATATGTTAAGGGGTCTCGGTTGGCCCAAAAAAATTAGAAAATAAAAACCTACTGGTTGTGGAGTTTTCCAAGTACGGTAGCTCCACCGGCTCACCTTCACAACTGAGATTTCTTTTTCAGTCAACTTATAGAAAACAGAACAGTGAACACTATGGTGAAAAAATTACACAAAACAAGAAATAGAAATAGGCTCATCAAAGGAGGTTTCGGGTTTTGACGACTCCACTGGGCTTTGCCCGTAGTTTTTGGCTTACCCATCATTTGTTTTGCTCCGATATGACCACAGTGGTGTTCAGAATCGAATTCTAAGCGGGTAGGAGAATTTTTACCTTTTTTGGTAATCGGAAGTAGCTCCGATGCGGTGGCGGTCGGCGGTCAGCTCCATTCTCTGGCGACTAGTTGTTCTTCTTCAGTGGGAAGTTGGCGGCGAGGGTTCGGATTCAGTATGATGTGAAATATTTATAACCACCTTGCGTTAATTTGGGCCGTTCATCCCATTTGATATCAACCGTTCGATCACGCCTAAGAAGAAAACGAATTTATACCGTTCATCGTGTTTGATCTCGACAGTCCGATTGAGACTAAAGGAGAAACGAATCCAAACCATCTACGCGCGTGGAATCACTTCTGGATCGTCCGATTGCATAGAATGCGGATCGCCAACATGGCCTCCTGCGTGGCACTGAGTCAGTGTGCCTTGCTATGCGGCGTGCTCCGATTCGTCGAGACTGCTAACTAGGTAATCCTATGTGGCCAAATTTTTCTTATTTGCATTCTGCTCCCAGTTTTCGATTTCTCTTTCAAAAACACCATTTGAACCCAAAATTTCATCCATTTTTTTCAAGATTATTTTTAATTTCATCCTTAACATATTTTTTTTTCATAATTTCACATTAAATTAAAATTTATTAATTTCAAAAATAGATTTCTATACATTTTAGAATGTTAAAATTAATTACATGCTAAATTTCGGGCTCGGGTATTACATACGTACTCCTATCTTGAAAGATAAATAAATCGTGATTTTATGATGTTATCATATAAAAACACTTTGATATTCAAGTGAATAAAGAAGAAAGAAAAACAAATTTTAAGTAGAAAGTGTACGTATAAAGATAATGATCATAATGTTCAAAGTAAAAGCAATTTAATGATCATAATGATACGGTTATAGCATGAACGTATATTGGTATTAAAAACTTAAGAGTGTAACTAGGTATTTTGCCACCTGCCATGTCATGTTTCACACCTTACTGTCTATCTTATCATTTTTTTTTAATTAGAGGTATTAAATGCATCTAGTTTTGATTAACTAAGTCGATTAGAGAAATTACTCCATATATTTATGTGTTATTACTTTGAAGTTTTTTTTTTTTCTTTTCTTACAAAAGGAATTTTAACAAAAACTCAAATAGATAAAATAGTTATAATTAATTTTTTTTTCTCAATCCGTTGTTTGCCCTTAGTAGATGAACAAGCTTGTCCCCTGTTAGTGAGCAAACACATTTATCCACCCTATGTAAAGATCTGAAACTTAAATAAAAATAAATTCATAAATTAAATATGAAAACGAATAATAGAGTTAGAGTTTACGTTTCTAATACAACAGTTTAGAATACTCAGTAGTGTTATGAGAATGTCTCTTTTAAAAAACAACAAAAATTAAAGCAAAACGAATAAATAAATATTTTACAGCAACTTTCACTAGTACTTGAAGGGAGTCCGGGTGATGAACTACTCACAACTCTCTTGTTGATCGAAATCTGGATTCTGATCCTCTTGATTTGAAATAGTTAATGAAATGGTGAGTAATACTAATCCATTAAAAATATCATATTAATTACTGATACGGAAAATTAAAAATTGATAAAAAAAATTAGAAAAAAAACTAATGTAACCCTTAATTTAATGTAAATTCATTTAGTATAAAAAAAGTCATTTATTCCATATTTACGTAACGAGTTTTTTCAAAAACAACTTATGAAAGTCCATATTTATACATATAAGATAATAAGAGAATATCACTTTTTATTTTTATTTTTTTACTCACTTACCAGTACTCTTGGAGGTCCACTGAGATGTCCTCCTACTCGTGAACCTAATATCCAATTAAACAATTAATCGGTCATCTTCATATCCCATCCGGTAATGGGCGCTAAACATTCAACCACCTCGATATCCCATCTGGTATGAGAGTGAACCATATCTCTCATATCTCCCATATCTCCTAAACCTTACTGGTAAGAAACTTCCCAGCCCCGTCCAACTGATGTAACGTTCACGGTAGGATTCCCTATGTACTGGGCCTATCCGCTCTTTCCCGGGTACCCAGTAAGTTTTTTACATACAGATTTTCATCAATATAACAATCAATCATGCAATACCAGTATCTCATTTTATATTCACAAATCAATAAAACAGCATTTAAGTAAGCGATTAAGCTTATCATAACTAATAACTGAGAAATCAGATAATTTGATAAATCATGTAGGAAGAAAATAATTAACCCAGATAATTAAAAAGATTATAAAAACTATCAATGTAAGCATGCACAATGTAATAGTCAGCAATTCAGGTAGTACATGAAAATAAATTGAGAATCATGACAAATGTGCACTAATTGGTTTTAACTCCACAACTAACTTGTAATCATTTTAAAGATTTTTTAATTTTTTATGAAAACACAAGATTATGCAACGTTAAACCTCAATTTGCCATAACAAGAAATAAGGTGAGAGATTCTTACTCGTATCGGTGTTTTGAGACGTCCTACTACCTACTACGCCTCATAACAGGCACAGAGTTTCTTGAATTTTTTTTTTCAGAATCTAAAACACTCATCACATACCTGAAAATAACTTAGAAATAGAAAGTCATTGTCTAAAACTCATTCCAGCTAAATTTTAGGGTTTCGGCACGGCGGCGCCGGTTCACTTTGGTTTTGGCCAATTTTGGTCGTATCCCCGCAAAAAAACATGTTAGTGGCCTCGGTTGGTCGAAAAATTACAAAAAAATCGAACCTACTTGCAGGGGGGACCTCCGGATGTGGCGGCTTCGCTGGTTCTCATTCGCAGCTAAGGTTCTTTTTTCGGCTAACCTGCACAGAAAAGGACGGTAAACACAATGATAAAAAAATCACATGAAACAAGAATCGAAAAAGGGCTCATCGGAAGGATTTTATAATTTTGGCCATGGTGGCTCTAGCAGGCTTTGCTCGCATTGATCTGGGCCATGCATCACGATCAATCTCGTCCGTTTGATCGCGCCTAAAGAGAAAATAAATTTGGACTATTCATCGCATTTTGATTTCGGTCGTCCGATTACACTTATGGGGGAAACAAATCCGGACTATCCACGAACGCGGGATCGATCTTGGGTCGTCCACTAGTGAGGCACGCGGATCGCCTGCGTGACACCGACGCCAGCGTGCCTTGCCACGTGGCATGCTCCGATTCGTCAAAGCTGCTGACTTGGCGGTCCAACATGGTACAATTTTTTCTATTTGCACTTTGATTTCCTGTTTTCAATTTTTCTTTCAAAAATACCTTACGAACCCAAAATTTCACCTTTTAAAAAAAAATTATTTTTGATTACATCCCTAACCTTTTTTTTCAATAAATTTAACAAAAATTAAATTAAATTAATTTATAAATAATTTTTATTTACTTTTAAATGCTAAAATTGATCTTGGACCCGAGTATTATACCTTATAAAAGTAGACGAAATTATTATCTGCACTAGATGAGCTCCAATCATTTGTCCATCCCTCAAAGCTAGAGACATTTTCACCCTTTGTGGGCAAACATGTTTGTCCACCAGTGAGTTGCAAGAATGTAGATTTTGTTGACTTTTTTTAGGGTTTGAAAATGAAAAAAAAAAATTGAGAACTTTATCCAACTTTATAAGGTTAAAGAAAAGCTTATTATATTTTTATATATGTGCCCTTACCAAACTTCTTAGGCCCATATTTTGAAAAATACATGTATATAACACTATAAGGAAGTGAATTGCTCTTATTGACATTTCGAAAGTTTTATTTTATTTGTTCACACATTCCTTAATGATTATGGTTACTACTTTGTTTCCAATAAAAGTCGCAAAGTGATAAGTCAAAAATAACTTGGAGAGTAAGAAAGGTGATGACGTCCACATTGATTTACTCTTGAATAAGACAAATGTCAAGCCTAGGTCGAGCTGATAGTTGAGCTAGCTCCACATTCCTTTGCCTGGAAATGTAGTTGTCCCATGGTTAATGATCATAAAAGTATGGTTATGATATAAGCATAATGTTGGTAGCAATGGTTTAGTGTGGAAAACATAAGGTGATTAATCATAGAACCTTTATAACTAGAACCTTTATAATCATAAAAAGTTTAGCTAATTTGATTATAAGGTATTCTGACAGATCTCATGTCACATATTCCATACGTTGTTACATATATTGTCATGTGTTGTCTTTTTTATTAAACACATTATTTTGTTTTTATGTTGAAAGAAACAAAATAATTAACCATAATACTCTTACTAATTATTCGATTTAATATTAAAATGATCTATGAGAAATTTAAGAATAAGAACAATCTATAATTATCCACTTATATTGTCATTTTGGGAAAAATGGGGGATTACATTGCTTTCTTTTTAATCTATAGCTTCTTTTTTGTCTCAGTTTAATTTTATTCGGATTAGTATAGGATAACCATTTCATCCATTAATTCTCTCTTTAGTCTCACATATTATCAATCCAAACTTGGAATGTGATTTCAGAGAGAAGGGAAAAGATGGCAGCAATTGATGCTATGATTGGAACTCTAGGACAAAAGTTATTTGAGGCTCTTTCAGAACAAACTCGTTTTATACTTGATTTTCGAACTGAGTTTGTAGACTTGAAGATAGAACTCGAGTTTGTCAAGGCCTATCTTATAGACATGGATAGCTTAAAGAATGTATCTAACAAGGTCGAAACTGTCAAGAGAAGCCTGAAGGAAATGAGAGACATTGTGTTAGAGGCTGATGACATACTAATAGATTGTATATTGAGAGATGAATATAAGAAAAAAGGATTCTGCTCCAGTTTCTCCCTTAGCAACTTAAAATTTTTATACGATACAGGGAGAAAGTTGAAGGATATCAACTTGCGAATCAAGAAGATAAAGAATATCTTGGAAACTTATTTAAATCCTCAACTGTCCAGCAGCATTAAGGGAGATAATAGTTATACAAGATTCTCCTCACCGAATTTTGATCCATATGAGATAATTGAAAGAGAAGGTAGTGTGGAAGTGATAAAAGATTGGATTCTTAAAAGCCAAGACGAACTTCTTCATGTTGGCATAGTAGGGATGGGAGGATTGGGAAAAACGATGATTGCCAAGAAAATTTTCAACGATAAGAACGTAAATGATCGTTTTGATAAAAAAATCTGGGTGTCAGTCTCTCAAGATTTTACTGAGGAAAGGATCATGAAAAATATGTTGGAGCAATTAGGATATCAAGGAAGTTTTTTGGATGATTTGAGTTGGATGATGCGGAAATTTAATGAATTAATAGTTAAGGATAAGTCGTATCTCCTTATTATGGATGATGTTTGGACCGTGAAATTTGAGTGGTGGAATGAAATTTGTTCCTGTCTAAAACAATCATCTGATAGAAACAACTGTGTCATAATCACGAGTAGAAATGAAAGGGTTATAGTTTCCATGGGACACGATAGTTCGCACATTCATTGGCCACCATTTTTAGATGAAAATCAAAGTTGGTCTTTATTATGCAAGGTAGCATTCGCCCCAAACAAGGGTGAATGCCCAAGTGATCAACTCAAACAAATAGGCATGGAGATACTCCAGAAATGTAAAGGGCTTCCCCTAGCAATCAAGGCAATTGGAGGATTACTAGCTTCAAAAGGATTCTACCCAATTGAATGGGAAAATGTTAACAATAATTTTCATGAGTTGACGATGGAGAAAGATAACGAAACTAGTTTTGTAGTGGCTTCTTTGCAGCTTAGCTACAACCATCTCCCCAGTCATCTTAGACAATGTCTCTTATGTTTCTCCATCTACCCAGAAGACTATGTGATAAATGCTGAAAAATTAGTTCACTGGTGGGTTGGAGAAGGCCTCGTCCATAATAGTATTAATAGAGATTCTTTTGGTATCTCTGTTACAGAACTGGGTTTTAAGTATTTATCAGAACTTATTAGCAGATGCTTGGTTGAAGTAGCAGGGCCAGACATGGATGGAAAGATCTACAATTGTCGGGTGCATGATATGGTACGAGATCTTCTTATTATGAGTGTAAAATATGAGGGACTAGGCAACTTCGACGAGAAGGGTAAGCAGAAGCCCACAGCAGATACTCTATGGTTGGGTCTTTCAAGTGAAATTGCAGAGGGAAAATCACTAACAACTAGTCCAAAGCTACGAGCACTGGTATTAATGAAAAGTGGGAGTAAACTTCATTTCGACAAAAAAGTTACAACGCGATATCTCAACTCCATCAGAGTCTTGGATCTGTCTAAAATTGAACTAGACACTTCACAAGAAGATCTTTTTGATTGGCTGAGTTGCCTTAAACGTCTGGCATGTTTGAACCTTAGTGGAGTTACAGGCCTGAAAGAGTTACCATCTTCAGTTGAGAAACTCCTTAACCTCCAAATCTTGGTTCTAAATGGATGCACTAGTTTATCCAAAGTGCATCCATCAATCACTAATCTGAAAAGGTTGATCATCTTGGATCTTGGATCTTGTCCTCTCCTCAAATCTCTGCCACAAGGAATAGAAAAGCTAGTTCGTCTCCAAGAACTGTCAGGACTGAGGTTGGTGAAGCAAGACGATAACAAAAGCTGCAAGCTGATTGAATTGGGGAAGCTGATGGATCTGAGAGTGCTACGCATAAACATTTGCAGTGAGACTGAAATTTCACAGAATGAATTGGAAGTGTTATCTCAACTTAAGAAACTCAAGGTTTTATCGATTGACACTGAGGACTGCACAGATCACGAGATTTCAGAGGCTTTGGGTTGGCTTTCTCATCCCCAGTTCCTTGAGGAGCTATACTTGAAGGTTTATGGTTCTAGGTTTATGCCAGTATGGGTAAATCCAGTGCAACTCCCAAGGTTGCGGTATCTTCATTTGGAAACAGCTCAATTCCATCTTTTTGAGATGGAAGCTATCAGCAATTGGAAACAGACAAGATGGAACCTTGAAGTGTTGAGCTTTACGTTATTGGAAATGAAAAATAAACTTGTGTTCTTTACTGATAAGATGAGGGAGACGATGCATTCTCTTCGTTATCTGGTTTATAAACCTGTTTTTTCCATGAAGATGGAACCATTTAGTTCTTGTCCATGGTATCGTTTTAGTATGGTTAATCCTTCACGGCCGATGATGACAAGCGGGAAGCTAATTTCCACCATGGGGAAAATCTCTTTTCAAGATGATTTTCCAGTCTTCCGCTTTCGTCTCGTCCAACCCTGGTACCCAAATGTTTATTGAACACCATCAAAACTTAAGACAAGCTTCGACTCAACTATATATATATATATATATAGTTCTACTTGTTAATGTATTTTTCTTTTTCTTCTTGTATTTCTAGTTTGTCATAAATAAAATAAAATTTGGACATGTCAATACTTTACCCTAATAACTACATATATATATATATATATATGTTCTTTTAATTCCTTTCTCTTCTTTTTTTTCTTTTCCAAATGTTACAATATCATTCAAAATATTGCATGTAACATGAGCTTATTTTTAAGGGTAAATTATATTTTTACCCTTTGAAGAAAAAATATGTTCTATTTTCTAAACATATCAAATTTATATCTAAACCATATTTACAAATTACTATTGGGTCAAGAAGTGATTTGATAAAATGCGTACACATCGGTTTGTTGTGCGTCCAAGAAAATATAAACGAGAGGCCAACCATGGCCTCGGTTGTTTTGATGCTTAATAGCAACTCTCTCTCTCTCTCTCTCTCTCTCTCTCACAGCACCTTCAAAACCTGCATTTTTTATTCACAGCACTATTATATCTAGCGTACAACCTTCAAGGTTATTATCTGTAAACGACTTAAGTGCTCGGTAATGTCATTAATGGAAAAAAACTTAAGTGCTCCAGAAGCACAAATGGGTTGGAAGAGACCGTAATTATGATCTATTTGCTTCATATTTTTATTTCGTAATTTTATGAAAAATATTTATAATAATTTAATTATATTTATGAGGATTTCTATTTTATCTAAATTTCAAAGCATCTAATAATCGTTCTAATGAGAGATGCAGCCATGTACTAAACCAGAGGTGTTCTGGTTGTTGTAGAATTCGTAGATAGTTAAAATATCAAGGAATAGTTAGCATACTTTCCTCTGGTATGTCATAATAAGAGCAATACCTACAGGGTAACATATAAATTCTTTTCAATTGTATAACCTATAATATATTTTATATTATCTTCTATGTATTGAGTTTACTTTAAATTTTAATTTTATAGAATAAAAATAATAATAACTGAGAAAAAAATTAAATAAAAATATATGTAAAATGCAACATAGGTATATATATAACATGTGCAGTTCTAGAAACATTAAATTTATAAAAGAGTTTTCTAGGGTTCTTGAGAGAGTTATTGGTGTAAATAGTATACATATCAATTTTTTTTCACTTCTTCAATAATTTCTTAAGATATGTATTTTGCCTGCTTGTGTAAATATGCGGCAGCGATGTATGAAGTTTCAATAATTCTAAGGAAAAATTTTCAACACGAACTATAACTTTTAAAAATTTAAATTCAATTTAAAACTCTGAAGTTTGATATGAATAAATTAATGTTTATATATACTTGATTCATTATATATATTTTCGATTAATGTTTATATATACTTGATTCATTATATATATTTTCGATAGTCTTTGTGTATAAATAGAGGATGAGCATTATCTAGTTTGAACTAAAAAAATTAAATCCGACCCACCAACAAAATTTGGATAGAATTGAATAATACACAATTTAGTCTTCGGATAAAAAATTTTTAGATTAAAAATTTTCTTCTTGCCCGGCTCGAATAATATTAAATATATAAATAATATATATATTCGGTTTCGGTTTCTTCTTATTTGATATTGAAAGAATATTCTTTGCATGTATAGAAGTATGTTCCATCTCTTAAAATTCTTTGCTCAACTTTGTGATATCCTTTGCTTTTTCTCTTCCAATCACTTGTTTTCTTCAACAACATATCAAGAATGGAGTTTCAAAGAATATATATATATATATATATATATATGTTATATTTATAAGTAATCTTAGTGTGATTCAAAGGGTAAGATGAAAACATTCTCTAACATATTTTATTGAGCCTTTCTTAATTTAATACATCTTCTGATGCTTTTTAAGAGACTCTAAATTCAGCTAAGTTGCTATCTTTCCCATACATATTACATTAATTTCTGTCTCTTGTCATATTCAAGTATGTTGGAGAATTTTTCTGATATTTATTTTTATTTATATTTTTGAGATAATATATATCTTTTTACTTTCATATATAATCCTAATATATATACATATCCATATACATATGTATGTATGTATGTATGTATGTATATGTAGTGCCAATCACAAATAATTCGTTTGGGGTATCCACTTTGTCTCTTCAAGTGATTTTTCTATTTGTTTTCATTTTCTTAAAGAACTTTTTATGCTCATTTCATTTGTGTATTCTCAAATTTTCATTTTGCATTTTCTTATTTATAGGTTTATCTTAGTACATATATTTTCATAATATATCAATGTTATTTTTATCAAAATACATATCTCGGTCTTCATTTTTAGCAAAAGATATTGGAAATAAATAAATATGTTAACTATAAATTTTAGTTAAAATTTTCTCATCCTTATTTTTTACATATGTATGTGTATTTATGTGACAGCAAAAGGAGAGACGAGAGATCAGATTGGATAATAGATAAAGAAAGAGGTATTTTGATCTATTTAATTATATATGTTACTATTTACATAGAGTTTATTTGAAGAATAAACTATATGTAGTTTTTTATTTAATCAAAAATTATATGTTGTCTCAGATGTATATAATACTTAAATTATATGAGAGTAATGATGAGGCATGGGAGATCTCCATTATCAATACATAGTTGAAACAATCCTTAGCCACGTAAATCCTAAAATTTATTTTACTTTTTAATTTATAAAATATTTCTTAAAATCTTGAGTATAAATGTAAGGATAGAAAATGAATGAGGAAATTCCATGGAACATCACCCTCTGTTAGAAAACCTCTAAGATCATTTAAAACTTAGGCGTCAATTCATTTTTAAATACTAATTAACGTGAAACTCACAAGCTTTTATTATTACATTCCTCCTCTTTATATTTAGGGCCAAATAGGAAAATCTTCTCCTACCTCCATTTTTGGACATCTCTCCACTCTTACATACCATCTCATATGCTAGGTTGATAGCTAGGGTGGTCTTACATGCTTCTATCTTGAAAAATGAATAAATTGTTACCTCTAGATGGTATCATATAAACATACTCTTATGTTCAAGTGAATAAAGAACATAAAAAGACAAGCTTTTCGGAGAAAGTGTACATGTAAAGATAATGATCATAATGTTTAAAGTTAAAGCAAGTTAATAATCATAATGATATAGTTATAGCATGGGCATATGTTGGTATTAACCTGTGTGGTTAACAAGATAACTAACCACTAAGATATAATGATAAGCTTTTGAGGACCATTATTGACTGCCACTAAAGAAAGTCTGAATGACTTGGTTAGGTACTTTGCTTCCTCTGATGTTATGTCTTATACCTTACCACTATCTTGTTATGTTTTATTTTTAACTGGACGTATTAGGTGCCTCCTATTTTGACTAAGTTGGTTTAAAGAAATTATACTCTATCTTTATGTGTTATTACTCTGAAGATCTTTCTCTTTTTTACCTAAGAAACTTAAAAAAAAAAAAAAACTCTAAATATATAAAATTGTTATAGATTAGTTTTTTTTAAGTTCATTGCTCGCCCTTGGTAAATGAGCAAACTTGTCCCATATCAGTAAGCGGACACATATATTGTTTGTCTTAGGTGACCTCCCAAGTATTTGTTCACCCCTCAAAGCTTGAGATATATTTTCGTCCTTTATGGGCAGAAACGTTTATCCACCTTTTAGTTGTAAAGAGTGCAGATTTTGTTGGCTTTTTCTAGGATCTGAAAATGAATAAATTTTTGTAAACTTTGTCCAACTATCAAAGGTTGAAAAGAACTTATTATATTTCATATATGTGACAATACACAACTCCTTACGCCCTACATTTTCCTAAACGTTTTTGAAAAATATGTAATATAACATTGTAAGGAAGTGAATTCCTCTCTTTGACATTTCAAAAGTTTTATCTTATGTTTTTCGTGTATTTTTTTATTCATTGTGGTTACTACTTTGTTCCAATAAGGCATAAATTAATAAGTTAAAAATAACTTGGAGACCAAAAAAGGTGACTGTGACTAACTACACAAGTTAATAGGTTGAGGTGGTAAGTTGGTCTCATGTGTCTACCTCCAGAGTGATCTAGTAGTTGAATATGACAAATATCAACCCTAGGGCAAGTTGATATAGTCGGGTTAGTCTCGCACTCCTCGGACCGAAAATCTAATCGCCAAATGTTTAATGGTTATTAAGGTATGGTTATGATGTAAGCATAACATTGGTAACAATGATTTAGTGTGGAAAACATAAGGTGATTAATCATAGAACCTTTATAACTAGATTTTAAGACTACGATTGACTAGCACTAAAGAAAGTCTAAATAATTTGACTATAAGGAATTCTAACACCTCTCATGTCACATATTCTATATGTTATCACGTATATTGTTACGTGTTGTCTTCTTTATAAAACTCAAAATTAATTGAACAAATAAAATAATTAAACATAATACTAACACTAATTATCCCACTTAATGTTAAAATAAAAAGTTTAACAATAAACATAATGCATATCTTCTTTTTGTCTCAAATTAATTCGATTTAATTGAGGACGACCAATTCATTCATTAATTCTCTTTCATCTCTCATACTATAAATCCAAACTTGGAATATGATTTCACAGAGAAGGAAAATATGGCAGCAATTG